CTTGGGTTACTCAGGAGTTTTGGACTGCAACTCCCAGAAGCCTTCACCACCTGCTGTGCTGACTGGGGTTTCTGGGAGTTGCAGTTCAAAAGCATCTGAGTAACAAAGGTTAAGAACCACTGCTCTATAGCTACTTGTCCTCCACTCTTCCTCAGTAGCATGTAGGACGCCTTCCAACCTGAGGGGCCCATCTTCCAGTGTCATATCTTTTAGCCTTTTGTTTCTGTCCATCGAGTTTTCTTGGCAAAGATACTGGAGTGGCTTGCCAGTTCCTGCTCCAGGTGGATCACGTTTAGTTAGAACTCTACACCATAACCTGTCTGTTTTGGGTGTCCCTGCATGGCATATCCCACAGCTTCTCTGAATTACTGAAGCCCCTTCGCCGCCACAAGGCAGCAATCCACGAAGGATTATATATAGGTTGTCTATACTGGACAACAAATCCCATTAGAACTAGCCAACATAGCCCTTGGTAAAGGATGATAGGCACTCTAGTACAACAGCAAGGGGGGGAGGAACAATTTCCCCATGTCAGCAATAAATCTACACGGAATGTACACTGGGCTGCGAAAGAGACCTTTAAATGCACGCATCTCCCCAAAACAGCTATAAGCGGGAAATCCTACTTCTCAAGCCCTTCTGTATCTCCTTGCCAAGATTTCCGCCTATTCCTCACCCAGCTTTCGCCGCAGCAGGAGCTGCCTCCGGGGCTCCCTTCGTTTTCTTCGACCCGGAGGCGGTGGAAGGATCTTCCTCGAACACGCTAAACAGCTCGTCTCCGAAGGCATCCGCCATGTTTCCCCCGACCTCGCGAGAACGCTTCCCATCATGCACAGCGCGGGCAACCACAGGGGCAGCGACCCTAAGGCGTAACTTCCGGGATGCGTTAGACGTCTTTCCCTCCCCTTTGCCCCATAGAGATACGAATAGAGAGACAAACACACAACTCTCTCTCTCTTTCTCTCTCTCGGATGGCTCCGTTCAGTGAGATTTAAAAACTTCATACGCGAGAAAACCTGATGGAGAAAAAAGAAATCACGTGCCCTTCGATATGTTCAGTTGTAGAAGCGGGGTTGGTCGGTGCAAGCATGAGAGGCAAAAACAAAACAGAAATAAAAACAAAATCCAGAAGTCAGAAAAATAAAGGAACAAAATAAAAATACGAAGTCATTAAAACAAAACACACACACACAAATTAAATTAAGGAAAATAACATGGAGCCATGGTCTCTTTCTGAGGGAAACGGTGGAAAAGGAAGAGCAGGAAGCTGAGGAGGGCGGGGGTGGGGGCTCTGCTTTCCCTCCCTCTCTTTTTTTGCCACTGTGGGCGGAAGCGGTTGTTGCCTGGCGTCAGACGCCGCGCGCTTTCCCGTCGCGGCGCGCGGCCCAATCAGGAGGGCCGTCCCCCGTGGCCGCTGGCGGTGCCCGGATGTCCGCAGAGCCGGCGCGAGGGCTTTGTAAGGGTTCTCTCCTCGCCGGTCCGGGTCATTATGGGCGGAAAGAACAAGAAGCACAAGGCGGGCAGTGGCGCCGCGGGATCATGTGCCTTCATTCTCCCTTTTTGCCTAACTCGTGGCATCTTGTAAAGGTGAATACACTGAACAAAAAATAAATGTTTTAGGGTAAGGCTTATTTCAGGCCAAGCTATTCTACTGAATACATCATGTGATCATACCACTCTTGGTTCCACTGAGGAAGACTTCCACTGTAACTGTGGAACAACACTACCTCATAGGAAGGGAAGGATGGGCCAGATCCAAATCAGCAGCAGATTTAGCTTGTTTTCCCACTACTGGCTTCCAAAAACAGATTGAGGCAAGCAGAAAAGGCAAGCACCCATCTGTAGTAAATATTTTTGAAATCAGCCGGGGCGCCCCGGCCGAGCCCCGCTGGCAAGGACCCGCGCCTTAAACAAGGTGAGGTTATCCGGGGGTTCCTTCCACGGAAAGGCATCGGCGTCAGTGAGGAGCCCTCTTGGTCTCCCAAGGCACGCTCCGCCATCCCTCATCGGAAGTAAATACGTTCCCGGATCTCTGGGGCTGGACGTCGCCGCCTCAGGAGGGTCCAGCCGGGGAAAAGGGTGTTTGATCTGGACAAAACGTAATGTACAGGTATAGGTCCTTGCTGCACCCCAGAACCAGAAATGTTGCATTCGTTTTCTTCACAGGGACATTCCTTGTTTGTAATACTCTGTACGGTATCTTTAAATGCAGCCTTTAAGGGGGAAATGAGCTTTTTTTTAAAAAAAAAAAAAACACTGTCTCCAGGCTGCAGGCTTGTATTTATTGATTATTTAGTTATTTAAAATATTTTTACCCCGCCCTTTCTCCTTACGATGGACCCAAGGCAGCTTACATCATTGAAAGGCAGTATTTCAAGCTGAAAGCAATGAGTAGACAATGGTGGTAAGCTTTCCATATTATTTATTTATTTGATTTTATACCACCCAGCCAACCAATGGTCACTGTGGATGATATGCAGACAAGAACAAAACAAATGTAGCATTGTTGTTTAGTTGCTTCGTGACCCCATGGACCAGAGCACGCCAGGCCCTCCTGTCTTCCATTGCCTCCTGGAGTTGGGTCAAATTCATGTTGGTCGCTTCAATGACACTTTCCAACCATCTCGTCCTCTGTCATCCCCTTCTCTTGCCATTACACTTCCCTAGCATCAGGGTCTTTCCCAGGGAGTCTTCTCTTCTCATGAGATGGCCAAAGTATTGGCACCTCAGCTTCAGGATCTGTCCTTCCAGTAAGCACTCAGGGTTGATTTCCTGAGTGGAATGTAGCATAAGGAAGTGCATTAAATTAAATAAATAAATAAAGCTGAATAATAAACATTAAAGTAATACAGTAACAGGTGGCAATTGAGTAAAAGGCTCATGCTCATAGGGAGTTGGTAGGTTGGCAGATTTTGAAAGGCCTGGTGGAATAAAAATGTTTCTAGATGTTTCTTAAAGGATATGTGTGCCATGTTATGTTTAAAAGCTGCTTATCATGGGTGCTGGACAATTCAGATACATACTGATGTCACACCAGTACTGTACCTTTTTGTTCAAAGTCACTAACAAGTGGTGTGTTAATATGACAAGGCCTGCTTGGAGAAAGATTTAAATGAATAAATGTGTATCAACATCCAATTATGTAAATTATGCCTTAATTTGTTCCCAACTTATATAGGTACATAGGGATTTTATTTTATTTTTTTTGGTCTTTTAAAAAAGAAAATAAAGCTGCATTGTACAGTATTCAGCAGACCCAGCAGCAGCATAGCAACATAGTGGTGTTTCCAGGCGTGCTGCTGCATTTGAGTATCTCTGACTTGGGTGTGCCTAATAATCAGCATTAGAAGAGGAAGATCACAATGGTTTTGCTTTTTCCTGAGCTTTTTCTAAGATCTTTCCTCCAAAATATTGGGAAGAGATGGGGCAACGAGGGCACAGCTATCCCCATATAATGAACACAGATTGGGTTCTGCTGCCATAGGGTGTTCAGTTGCCTTGGTCTAGGCTGCTAGGATAAGCTGACTAATTGCTTGGAATACTTTTATCACTCTCACACAACTATAGCACATCTCAACTTTCTAACTTTTATCTCATTCTAACAAAAATCCAGGGACCTCAGCTACACTGTTGGGAATGGTCATAATGAGTCGGTGCCTTTTTGTTATCTCTGGAGTTAGTCCAGGATTTACCAGAACTTAAGACATTAAGCTTAAACATATTCAATACAAGTAAAGACTATTGTACACAATGGAAATTCTGAGTAAACATTTACAGTATAGAGTTGTGCAGCAAGTTTTGTACAGTAGTTGTAACTGTATATAAGAGAAACGTCTCTGGTTTTCTGACTGTGAACTTTGTCAAATAATTGTCTGTTTAACTCCGTAGGTCCCAAAACATACAGCTTTGGTTCTGCAGCTGATTCCAATATTTCTGCAAACACAGATAAATCCATTCTTAAGGTAGGGCAATCCATTGGGAGGAGAAGAAACATGATATGACCAGATGAGCGGGATATAAATCAAATAAATAAATAAATAAATAAAATTATGCAACATTAGTAGTGCTGAGCTTTATGGCTTTTTCAACTGATCATCAAATCTCATTGATTCAGTGCACCTACATTTTCATGAAGACATGAAATAGATTATTCATTTCCCCATATAGATTTTTATAAGTTTGTGTTTTGATCAGCTCCTATTGTGTTTTAGCTAACATCGTGTTCATGATTGATTTTGCTTTCACAGGTGGTAATTAACAATAACTTGGAAAAAAGAATAATTGGCATAATCAATGAGCATAAGAAACAAAGTGGTGAAAAAGGAATGATTTCCAGACGACTTACTGCTAAAAAGTTACAGGTAAAGATTTGCTAATAATCTTAGAATAATAATAATCTTAGAACTGCAGAGCTGGAAGGAATAATCAATCCAGCCCCTGTTCAGGAAGAAGAGTGGGGAATCAAACTCCCAACCTCTGGTTCCGCAGTCAGATACCTTAATAAACCACTGAGCTATCCAGTAGTGTTCCACTAGTATAAAATATATGACCACCATGAACTATGTCCAAGAGGAACTGACAAATATAGTCTACTCTAAGGCTGGAAAGAAAAGGTGGATTGTTCTGATCAACAACAGATTAATTAATTGCACTTCTGCCTCTATGAGTTAGTTGCTGATTTTATATTTTTGTTTTGATATCCTGCGTTTCCTCCAGTGAACTCAAGCTGGCAAACATTAGTTCTCAGCCTCCCGGAGTTTCTCCTTACAACAGACTTGGTAGGTAGATCAGACCAGGAGAGAGAGACTGAGTGGCCCAAGAATATCCAGAGAATTTCACAGTTGAGTGGGAGCTTGAACCTGCAGCACCAGAGTCCCTATCCAGTTCTTTTAATGGTGACATAACACTGGACATGTCTTGAAGTGAACATAAAGAAGTCATCCATTAGCACATTCTGTTAGGGTTTTTTTTTAAAGATAAAAGCTTGATAGTTGTCCCTTCAATGTACACGTTTTTTCACTTCATTTTTTGAAACAATATGACCAGTCTTCCTTTACTTCCTTGTCTGCTTTCTTCTTCTTTCAGAATGTCATTTTATTCATATAGGACAGGAATGGGCAGAGTTAGAGATGTAATTTTTTTGGAGAAAAATCCATTTTTTACGAGAAAAAATAAGGAAAAACTTTTTCTGGAAATAATTGATTTTTGTTTTTGAAATTTCACATTTCTAGGCAGAGTGTAACCTGTTGGGCACATGGGGCAATCTAAGGATGTTTTCTGTGACTCCAGGCTCCCACAGATCTCTCCTCATGCCCCTCTAGCAATGATGTTTCTGTAGACAAAGAATGTTTTACAATAAAAGGTCAGGGAGAAACTCCAAATCCACCAGGCCCCAAACAGCAAAATGAGAAGTGGAGTGGGGTTTGGCTTATTTTTTTAGAACCCTGTTCCCAATTTCTGTGCTTGGTGGGACCTGCCACAGATGATAGAGTAAAGGTTTTAGGCACCACGCCAATTGATGTGTGAGGTCTACTGTTTTATTTGTGAATACTTGTCATCCAAACCATTGTTGTAAAAAAAAACCCCACTGTTGTTTTTAAAAAAGTATCTTCATGTTATGTTTGCCAGTAACATGAGTGTTCCATGGTCCAAATAAAGTCTGCAATATTAAAATTTTATTACTTAATTTGAAGCAAGTTATCAGAATTTGCTTATGAGGGAGAACAGGATATTATTATCAGAAGAAATGAACTGCAGTTTAAGAAAGTGTATGCCGTAGAAAACTTGTTTGTCTTAAACATGTCACAAGACTTTCTGTAGTATCAACTATACTTTGTCCTTCACCATGGTAAGGAAAATTTGTGGTTTAGCAGAGAAAATTGTGTGATTCTACAGTTGTATCATTGAATAGTTGCATGGTTAAAGCAGTAAAAATCTATATAAGACATTAAAACTTTATCTTTTATTTTATTCTATTTTATTTGTATGCCACCTTTCTCCCCATAGGGAATCCAAGGTGACTCCCATCAATTAAAATTATACAACAATAACACGTTAGAATTGCCACACAAAACTATACATTAAAAAATTAAACATTGTTCAAGATTAAAAACAGTTGGGAAAACATTTTAAAATATCTAAATTTTAAAAAATAGATTGCTCCCTTATTGCTTAAAAGCCTGCCTAAAAAAGAAGGTCTTTGCCTGATGGTGGCAGAACAAGAGTGAGGGGTCTAATCTGGCCTCTCGGGGCAGTACATTCAAAAGCCTGGAAGCAGCTCTTGGCTTGGGTGAATGTTGCACAGACTCTGGGACTGATTCAACATCACTCTGATACACATTCATAGCTCATCCAAAACATAGACTTGTCTGTTCATTACAGCATAGGAAATGACTCTGCCTTTCAGTGGAATGAAACTTAGAGCTGCTTTGCTATAGCACTAAACGAGGCTTGCTGTCTCAAAAAATGTCTGTATGTACAAAGAGCATTAGTTTTGGGAAAGTTTCTCAGTACTGATTCCTTAACATTTTTTCCAGGATGTATACATGGCTTTGCAAGGATTTTCCTTTAAGACTGAAGATATTGAAGAAGCTATGAAAAATACTCTTTTATACGGCGGTGATCTACATTCTGCCCTTGACTGGTTATGCTTAAACCTCTCTGATGGTAAATATAAAAGGAAAATGAAATTTGGGAACATTTGGTGGGATCTCTATTATCTGCTAGACGGATGGACATTGTTGGCAGAACAGAGTCCTCTCGCTTGGTACTGTTAGAATCTGCTTCAGAACAAATTTGCAGGATGGGTGGGAAAGGGGAAGAAAGAGCAAAATGGGATGAACAGAAAAAGCAAGAAGGAAATGTGAATAGTAGAGGCCTGTTAGACTTACTGTATGGACACTGGCAACAGAAGCTGGCAAAGACCTTTCTCTTCAGACAGGCTTTTTCTTGGTGACTGGCAGCCTGAGAGAGGTTTTGTGCTCTCTTTCTGCTTTTAATATTGATTTTATTTACCATTTTTAATATGATGCTTATTTAATTATTTTTTAATATTTGTACACTTACGTATGGTTTTTAGCTTTTGTATATTTTCCTTTTAATGATGTGAGTTGCCTTGGGTCCTTTCGAGGAGAAAGGAGGGGTAAAATATTTTAGATAAATAAAACAAAATAGTATCAAAATGTTAGGTATTGATGAAGATAGGATGAATGGATTTAAAACTTATTCCTGGGATAATTTTCACAACTGGTGATAACGGCCATTTCATGGGAAAACGCCATATAGTAACCTTTTCATGAAATGGTTTGTACATATAATTCAATAGTTTCCATAAAGATATTTCAACTACATTTTTTGTTTTTGTTCTTTTCTTTGAAGATGCATTGCCTGAAGGTTTCAGCCAGCAATTTGGCGAAGAACAACAGAAAATACGAGCAAAATTTCATTCTCCTTTTTCACAGTGTAAACTTCCTCACGTGCCAAATAATAAAAAGAAGGAAGATGAGTGTGAAAAAAAGGTATTCTATAGGCATGCAAAAACCGTGCAAAAGAATTTGTGAATCTTTTTATAAAGAACTATGATATCAATCTGAAGGGTATATTTAGTTTTTCATAGTCATTTGTAACAAGGCAAAGTGTAAACTCAGTAGAAACATAATGTTTAGTTTTTCAAATATTTGCCTTGTGTACTATAAGACTAGTCAAGAGGCAATAAAGTTAGATAGTACTTTTTAAAAAATTAATGGTAATGTAAAAAAATGTGCACTTGTTGTAGTGGCGCAGTGGTTAAACTGCTGTACTGCAGTCAAACTGTGCTCACGAACTGGGGTTCAAATCCCAGGTAGCCGGCTCAAGGTTGACTCAGCCTTCTATCCTTCCGAGGTCGGTAAAATGAGTACCCAGCTCGCTTGGGGGAGGGGCAATGTGTAGCCTGCATAATTAACTTGTAAACTGCCCAGAGAGTGCTTGAAGTGCTATGGAGCAGTATATAAGCAGCACACTTTGCTTTTAGTAGTAAATATTCTAGCTAGGATTGATAATACCCTTTTCATTGTAAAAAAAACACAATTTGTGTGACATCAGATTTCCATGGGCTTTTTTCATAGGGGCAGTTTAATTTAACAAACCTGTAGCCCTGCAGTCATAAACATGTTTACTGGAGAATGTTCCATGGCAGACAGTTGGACTTACTTTCTTGTAATGGATTGCACCATTTATAAATTGTTGATATAATCATGGCCAGATTCTCTATTTTTATTTTCAAAATGCAATTTGAACATTTCTAAGCACCTAATATTTTAAAAATATCTAAAGGGAAACACAGAGAAGCGAAAAGAGATCAGCATGAAGGAATGGATTCTGCAGTATGCCGAACAACAGAGTGATGAGGAGAAAAATGAATCTGTGAAGAATTTGGATGAAGAAAAATTTGACCCAGTAAGTTTATGAGCTTGTTTATGCTCATCTGTCTTCATTTCCAATATTTTTAACCTACAGCATTAAACAGCACCATTTAAAGTTAAACATTTGTCTTGTCGGTTTTGACACCCCTCACTTGCATGCGATACATGTATTATAAATGGGAGCCCCTTGTCCCCTATGTTAAGCATCACAGTCTGTAATCGCAAGCCTACAAATTTGCAAGTCATTTGCATACCTTTAGATCCTATACTGTGGGTGCCAGAGAGCAACTTTCCTTGCTGTTATGTTTTGGTACACGCTAACAACTTTTAAAATGCTAATTAAAACAGACACTTTTATTAGAACAGTTTCTCAAAGTGCAACTGGCTCTTGTTCAGAACCACAGATGATCAACATTACGAAACAGGAGACAACATCTTCCATTTTCCTCTTCCATGAAGAAGCCAGTTCTTAAAAACTCTTCTTAGAAGAATCTGTGTAGAATTCTGTCTGCATTTCAGAGTCCATATTGACAAGTTTATGAGCAGCCCATACTAACAAAATCTTTTTTCTGCAACCTGTATAAATTATGCAAAGTGGACAAGTGATGCGAAATGAAATTAAGAGGTGAAGCATGTGTTTAACACACAACAGGCCTGGTTCTGGCACTGGCACTTCCATGTTGTTTCCAGGCCAGATTGGACTTTCACAATTAAAACAACTAGGAGTCTTGCAGTACCTTAAAGATTAGCAAATTCTTATTCAGCAAAGGCTTTTCTAGAGTGCATGCTGTGTATGTTAAGCACTGGGCTGCAATCCAGCAAGGCATATGCCAAATTAATCTTGCTGATCTATAAGGCACCACAAGACTCTTTGTTTTTCCAGGAAGGACTGGGAAAGAATCCTTTCTGAAACATCAGCTAGCAAGGAATACTGCTGTATGGATGTGGAGACGGGCAGGAGGAGGTGCGTGTAATGTATTTCACATGAAATTTCTGCATAGGCTACTGTACTAGACTATGAATCAGTAGTAGTATATACAGCTTTGAATACTTCAGGATCCAGGTACTTGAAGGAGCTATCTGACTTAATTAATTAATTAATTAATTAATAGATTTATACCCCGCCCATATAGACAGATAGTCTACTCTGGGCAGCATAACAAAGTTTAAAAACAATAAAACCAATAACATACAAAAATCCAAGACGTAGAAATATAGATATTAAAATACAGCAGGAGGGAAAGCCTGCCTAAATAGCCATGTCTTTAGTTTACTTCTAAAGACACCCAAAGAGGGAGCCATGCGGATCTGTAGGGGCAAGTTGTTCCAGAGGCGAGGGGCCACTGCTGAGAAGGCCCGGTTCCTCGTTCTTTCCTTCCAGGCCTCCCTCAGCGATAAGCCCCTCAATCACCCGGCCTGGCTAGAACGAGTGTCTCTGGTAGAACTGGGTGGGAGAAGACGTTCAGCCAGATAGAGAGGTCCTAAACCGTTTAGGGCTTTATACGTAATCGTATGAACTTTGAAGTCAGCGCGGAAACGAATGGGCAACCAATGCAAGGCGGCCAGTGTGGGGGAGATATGTTGGTGCCTCTTCACCCCAGTTAGAAGTCTGGCCGCGGCGTTTTGCACCATCTGGAGTTTCCACGTCAGTCTCAAAGGCAGCCCCACGTAGGGCGCATTACAGTAATCTAATCTTAAGACTATGAGTGCTGGAGAGACTCTACTTGTGGTGTGCAGAGTACCTGAGGAGTTGCCATATGTAGCAGGACCTTCTCATTGGTTGTGTTCTAACTGTAGAATTCCCTTCCGGCAGACATTCATTTGTTCCCCATACTCTAATTCAGTTGTCAAGTGAAAACCTAGTTACTTGTATGAGCCTTCTGGATAAAAATAACTGTTTTACTCTTTTTCACCATGCAGAGCGCATTACAGTAATCTAATCTTGAGACTATGAGCGCTGGAGAGACTCTACTTGTGGTGTGCAGAGTACCTGAGGAGTTGCCATATGTAGCGGGACCTTCTCATTGGTTGTGCTCTAACTGTAGAATTCCCTTCTGGCAGACATTCATGTGTTCCCCATACTCATACAAGTAACTAGGTTTTCAGTTGTCAACTGAAAACCTAGTTACTTGTATGAGCCTTCTGGATAAAAATAACTGTTTTACTCTTTTTCCCCCTGCTTATCATATTTTGTTGTATTGCATTTCATTTTTGAACACTGATAAATTGAACATTTACTGTGGTCATTTTATATGTATATTGTACATAAATGGTTAGTCACTGGATTCTTCTGAGGGAGGATGGCATATAAATCAAATTAGGACAGAATTATAATAATACAGTGCTGTGGTTTAACAGCCACAGATCCTAGCCATGAGATTCACATGCAAAAATTCCTTCTTCCTATGGGAGGCATCCTTTAGCATCACTTTTATAAGAGAACTTACAGCAAGGTTTGTATCCTTTTAAACACTAATGTTAATTAATCTAATTGCTGTGCAGGTAATGGTTCTTTCCAGTGTTTGCAAGTAGACACAAGAAATGATCACATGTGCTATTGCTGTTATGGAGACTATGGAGTACTCAGGGCCTTAAGCTAGTGCCTGTGTCTCTTTAAAAAGACAATAACATTGAAGCTCAAGTTATCATACTAGATTCTATGTATAACATGATTGATGCCTGTAGCGTAACTGATTACTTCACCTTGAACAGAATGAGAGGTATTTACACTTGGCTGGAAAACTTGTGGAAGCAAAAGAACAAGCAAGTTCTTCCAAGCAAGACAAGGACAAACATGGACAGAAGGTGGCACAAGAAAAAATAAGGCGGATTCATCAAGGTAGGAACGTTCAACATTTGGGTCAATATCTGGCTGGATACTGTTTCACTCTGCTAACGCAAACAACAGTGCACTTAAAGATACCAAATAAATAAATAATGTACTGTCAAGCAATTCTGATTTATGGCAACCCTTTTCAGGGTTTTCTAGGTAGAGAATACCCAGAAGTGGTTTACCCTTCCCTTCTTCTGGAGGCATCCAGGGGCTGTTCAGCTTGCCCAAGGCCACATAGGCTGGCTTTACTCACAGGAGGCACTGTGGGGAATCAAACACCCAACTTCTACCTAAATCAGTGAGCTATCCAGTCAGGCCAAAGGCACTAAGTTCCAAACTATTAATAATTTTCCAGTTTTGCTGCAATTTGTACAAGCAGTTGTATGCATATTGACCAAAAGGGGGAGGAGTCATTCCATGTCAAATCAACCAGTTCATGGAACCTTGACATCATGGATTTGGTTCATTTTTGATACATTTGTACCTTACCATGAGATGTTCTAAAATATTTCTTTCAGATGTTTTGGTCCACTCCTTTTTGAGATATTGCATTTTCAAAATTGCAAAAAAAGTCAAAATTCACTAGCCACCACAGCTTCAAATGCCATTTAATAGATGCCTATGATAGCTGCAGACCTGGGACAGGTGTCCTTTTAAAGCTTATAAATAGGGCTGTCATTTGATATACAACATGATGCAATTGTGCATTTTCAAAAAATTTACACATTATGGTTGGCTTTTTCGTTTTCAGTGTGGAACTCTTTTTTTTATGTTCAGAGGCACAATTTCTCACGTCCCTCTTGGTAGAGATGAAAAGCACTAATAAAGTTATTTCATATACAGTCTATATGGAGGATCTATGTTAGTATTCATCTGCCCCAAGAGCAATGTGAACACCTGCACTGAGCTGTTTCCTGTGTCGGTCAAATGCCTATAAAGGAAGTGATCTTACATGCCAGTGAATGACTGAGACTCTTATCTCATTCATTCCTGACACTTCAGCTTTTCTCTTACTTGATCACTTTTCTACTCAATCTTCCTTTGTACCACTGACATAATAGCCAAAAGTAGTCTTAAGAAACCGGTTGAACTCTTTCTTGAAGTCCTTAATGAGAATGAGACCAATGAAAGAAGGTAATTCTAGTTTCTGGAACTGTGCTTCAGTTTTATACGAGCCTTGAGTTGCTCACCAATTTCTAGCAAAAACATTGCTTCCGAAAAATGTCTTTTTTACCCTTTGCTCTCAAGGTGCAGAATTTAGGCCGAGCCATTTTTACAATAAAGAATGGGATTTTAATCTTTAAAACATATTTAAAACATTTTCCTTCCTCCATCCAACAGCCAATATGTCATGTAAGCGTCTCTCCCTATTGCCACATCTTTCAGTGATCTAACATATATTGCTTCTTGATAGAGATGTCAACCCTGGAGGAACATCCTGTTTTCAATCCTGCTCTCAAAGTCACAAACCAGCCAAGTGAAAAGAAAAAGCCTCCTGTGCCACTAGAAACAGATGGTGCTTTAAATCTGAATGTGCTTGAAAAGTCTCAAGCTGTTCCAGAGGAACAAAAAGGTATGGAAATGTTTGTTTAGAACAACATGAAAACTACTGTTGAGGATTGTTTTACATAGAATTAGAATGAGAAAACTATCCAAAATGTATAGTAATTGTTCTTTTTAGTTAACCACTTGTCTAATGTGAGTTCATTACATCTCCAGAGGGTTCATAACATTCGCAGTACCTGATGTGTAGCCTCACATAGGTGTAATTTCTGTAAGACTTGAATGCACTGATGCAATGATTCTGAAACACTTTTCTTGCCACTTCTAGCACCAAAATAAAATACTATTTCACCTTTTTCATTCCTGTCAAAATTCAAAATCAACTATGCAGAGAAGGGTATTTGCAAAAGGCTCTTCACATTTACTGAACTGCTTGTTGTGTCATGCAACTGAATTTACAGTTGGAGGAAGACCTGTTATGTGAAGGACAGCCACAAAAATAGCTCATATGGCTTACTCAGTGATGCTTAAGCAGTCATGTGAGCTAACAAGATTCAAGCCACATTTCCCAGGCTTTAATTCTTAAGAGGAGATAAAACATAGTCATTTGGTTACATCAGCCTCTTTCCTTACATCTTTTGATGACTGGCTCAAAACTGATTCATCAAAATCATCAGGGTCATCAGGGGGGGTGGAGCATTGTGTCATCAATATACTGATGACACCCAGCTCTACATCTCCTTTTCACCAGCTGCAGGTGATACCGTCCTGTCCCTCCAGCGCTGCCTGGAGGCCGTACTGCAATGGATGCAGGAGAACGGGCTGAGGCTGAACCCAGACAAGACGGAAGTTCTGAGGGTGGGTGTCACTGTGGCTGGCGGCTTGGGTGACACTCATTTGGGGGGGTGACACTGGCCGCGAAGAGTGGGGTCCGCACCCTGGGGGTACACCTGGACCCGACGCTCACCATGGAAACACAGGTGGCGTCGGTAGTCCGCACCGCCTTTTTTCATCTTTGGCGGATTGCCCGGCTGCGACCTTACCTAGACACAGGGGCGCTCACTACTTTAGTACATGCACTCGTAATCTCTAGATTAGACTACTGTAACGCGCTCTACGTGGTACTCCCTTTGAAGCTGACGCGGAAACTTCAGACCCGACGCTCACCATGGAAACACAGGTGGCGTCGGTAGTCCGCACCGCCTTTTTTCATCTTTGGCGGATTGCCCGGCTGCGACCTTACCTAGACACAGGGGCGCTCACTACTTTAGTACATGCACTCGTAATCTCTAGATTAGACTACTGTAACGCGCTCTACGTGGTACTCCCTTTGAAGCTGACGCGGAAACTTCAGGTGGTGCAGAATGCGGCGGCCACACTCCTTACTGGAGTGAGAAAATACCAACATATCTCTCCTACTCTGGCCATGCTGCACTGGCTGCCCATCCGTTTCCGCATTGATTTCAAAGTGTTAACGCTTACATATAAGGCCCTAAACGGTTTAGGACCCCGATACTTGGCGGAACGCCTGCTCCCACCTAGATCTACTCGGATCACCCACACGAGCCAGGAGGTGAGGCTGAGGAGCCTAACACCGAGGGATGCCCGGAAGGAAAGGACACAAAACCGGGCCTTCTCGGCGGTGGCTCCTCGCCTCTGGAATAACCTTCCTCCGGTGATTCGTGCGGCCCCTACACTGGGCACTTTTAAGAGTCAACTAAAAACATGGTTGTATGTTCAGGCCTTCCCTCTTGTCAATATTTAATTCTTTCTTTATTTTTTCTTTCATTTATTATTTGTTTTATTATTGTATGTGTTATGGACTGTTTGTAAAATCCTTGTTTTATCGTATACACCTTATTGGAAACCGCCCAGAGTAGTTGACCAGACTAGATGGAAGGGATATAAATCAAATAAATAAATAAATAAACAAATAAACAAACAATAAATTGTTTGCATCTATTTCCATGTTAATAGCTTGTTGGGTCACATAAGAGCCTACATTTTTTCTTTGCTGATCTCAAAAATGTGAATCTACCATACACTCCATCCAACTGCCAACTCCATGCACTGCTGAAACAGAAACATAAGCAGGGTCCTTCTTTTAAACTAGAAAGAGCATCCAAAGTACAGTGGTGCCTCGCACAGCGAGGTTAATCTGTTCCGGATTAATTATTTGTTTTATTATTGTATGTGTTATGGACTGTTTGTAAAATCCTTATGTTTTATCGTATACACCTTATTGGAAGCTACCCAGAGTGGTCGACCAGACCAGATGGGCGGGATATAAATCAAATTAATCAAATAAATAAATAAATAAATCAACAATACATTGTTTGCGTCTATTTCCATTTTAATAGCTTTTTGGGTCACATAAGATACTACCATTTTTTCTTTGCTGATCTGAAAAATGTGAACCTACCATGTACTCCATCCAACTGCCAACTCCATGCACTGCTGAAACAGAAACATAAGCAGTGTCCTTCTTTTAAACTAGAAAGAGCATCCAAAGTAGTACTTAATGGAAATGCGTGTCTGAAGTTTTCAGACCCATTTTGGTGTAAATGGCTGTTGACGAATTGTGAAGAGGTTCGCTACCTCCCCCAGACGGTCCCTCCTTCTTGGCAGGAAATAACAAAGGCTTAGTCTTTATAACTTTCAAACTATCAACTTTAGTGGTCCCTCATTCTCAGTGGGAAATAACAAAGGCTTAGTCTTTATAACTTTCAAATTATCAACTTTATTCTCCCCAATGTCCACCAGCACTTCACTTGAAGGTAACAACGGTTCCAACTTAGGCAACAGGCCATCATTAACATCAACAAAACTCTTGCTATAGTCCCACGGGCTTAATGGTGTAGCACTCCATGTCGTTCCTTGTCCTCCGAGCGCAGTGGTGGGGCATTCTTGATCGCACAAATCATCCCACAACATGAGTGCCTCACCCACCCCCTCTCGTCTGGACCCTCAGGGAACGGTGCAGTAGTTTTCTCCCACTCATGCCGCAACTCAGCCTCTCTTGGTGCCACTGTAGCTGTCCACTCATTCCGTCTTTCCTTCCTCTTTTTCCTCTCGTACTCTTCTACCACAGTGCTGAACCACACCACCCCTTCCTCGCTTTTATCCTCCTCCCATACTGATGCCTCTTGCTCCACTCACTCTCCTACCAGAGTTTTTCCCGCCTTTTCCTCAACTGTCAACTCTCCCGCCTTTTCCTCCTCAGCCCTTGTCATATCCTGATGTTCCCCTTCTTTCCTCTGTTCCTCCGTATGGTCAACTAAGGACGGCACACTCTTTGTCTCTGCTCCTTCACACTAATTCACATGTTCACTTGCTTGCTTTATGTGTTGAAAATATTACTACAATGTTGGTTAAGCATATGTATCTAAAAGCTGTGCTACTGTATGCCTTACTTCAAAATGAGACCTGCTAAGTTTGATGGCACATATTTTTGATTACGTATTCATGGAATTGGAATGTTTGAGTATCTCTTGAAGTAACCAGCCAGTAATAAAACTATATTTTGAGTGGAAATGTTGGGGGGTCGTCTTATACGCCCAGTCGTCTTGTACACCGGCAAATATGGTACTTTTTCTAGTGGATTAGGAGAAACCCTATTGTAGTTTTGCTTTTAGACGAACACTATTAGCTGGATGCAATGTGAATTAGTATTCAACATTCAACAGGCAATATCATAATTCATGTGGAAACTGAGTGCAATGTGTCTGTAAGTAAATAATTATTCCTGCCTCTCATATTGCTGTTCAACACTGCTGGCATTTAAACGATTTAAACTACTGGATTAGGAGAAACCCTATTGTAGTTTTGCTTTTAGACGAACACTATTAGCTGGATGCAATGTGAATTAGTATTCAACATTCAACAGGCAATATCATAATTCATGTGGAAACTGAGTGCAATGTGTCTGTAAGTAAATAATTATTCCTGCCTCTCATATTGCTGTTCAACACTGCTGGCATTTAAACGATTTAAAATTCACATTTATTCCAAACGTAATGATAATTTATTTATACTTTTGCCATGAAATGGCAAATTATTCTGTGCTCTCTTTGTATTTTTTTTATTAGCAAAAAAGAAAGAACCACATGACATGAGGAATTTTGATTATACTGCTCGGAGCTGGACTGGAAAATCTCCCAAACAGTTCTTGATTGACTGGTGCAGAAAACATTATCCTAAATGCCCAAACCCATCTTTTGAAAAAGTTCCAGCAGGGAGATACTGGAAATGTAGGTATGTACGGTTCACAGGATTGAATTTGAGTTCCAGTTCCTTTTACCTTTATTTTGATATAATTATGAATAGATACACAGACTTACAAGCTTGCTTTACATACCTTCATCACAGTTATGTGTTGTCAAGTCATTGTTAACATATAGCAGCCCTTTTACAGCTTTCTGGATAGAAAGTAATCAAAAGTGGTTTGTTATTCCCTCCTTCTGGTGATGCTCTGGGATGGTGGAAGTTTTTAAAGTCCAGGCACTTAATGTCATCAGCCACATATGATCCTGGTGATATAGGGAGGTACTGTGGAGATTTGAACTCCCAGACACTGGCTCCACAGCCATGTGCTCCAACCCAACTGAGCTATATTAGTTGGGTCAGATGTAAATTTAGACGTTCACAAAATAACTATTGTAAGGGAGGGATTTACTGTGCAATTCTGGACATATTTTTCCACTCAGAGATTGTATTAGCTTCTTGTGGGATGTTTCTTTTTCTAGTTTTACAATAGGGAGAACTGGGGCATACAGAAAACTGAACTGCTCATCTGAAGCTATAATGAATATATAATGCAACTAGATTCTCATATATGTTCCTCGGAAAATGGGAAGGATAATGTAGAATTTCCACATGCATTCAGTGGTGAATGTACATCAAAGCTCAATTTCTCTAGTAGCATGATGGAAAGCAATTTTTGTCTTTCATATATTGCATTTTGTTGTTAATGTGCATAATTCAGATAAAAACTGATATGCTCCAGTTTGTATAAAAGTGTTTGGCATTCGGATTTAGGAAAGTAGCTAACAATAATTTTGGTAAATTGAAGAGTTCTCTGATCGTGGGACTAGAAAGAAACCATTAAGTGTACATTCCAGGAATCTGAAAATTGATACTTTAACATCTTTTTATTGAGTTTATAGTCTCCATCTTGCAGCTACAGAAGGACACAATGGCCAGATTTACAACTAAGGCAGTTTTTTGAACTTCTCGTATTTTTCCCCCATCCTCTAATTTAAGTACCATCATACTGGATGAAGAGTTCTGGAGAATGCAAAATCTGGAACCATTTCTTTAACTTTTCAGTTGTCCTAGTAGAAGGCACGCCATTCTGACTTGTTTTAAAACATATGTACTATGCAATTACTTGTTTTTGATCTGATATACCAAGGAAGGTTGATAATTTCAATCTTATTGCAACAGTTAACTTGTGCTTAATAAAGAAATATGTAAAACATTTTGATTTCTCAAATATGAGTAACAGTCTCAGATGTGTGTATTGAATTATTCAAAATATTTTCAAGCTACATTTCTCCTTTAAAAATACCCAAGGCAGCTTGCAACAGTTAGAAGATAATATTTAAGTTAGGTTTCTGGCTTCCATGTTGTGTTAGACCAGAGATTCCCAACCTTGGGTCCCCAGGTGTTCTTGAACTAAAACTCCCAGAAGCCTTCACCACTAGCTGTGCTAGCCAGGGTTTCTGGGAGTTGTAGTATAAGAACATCTGAGGTCCCAAGGTCTGGGACCATTGTGTTAGACCAGTGGTTCTTAACCTGGGCGATATCGCCCCCCAGGGTGTGATTTTGTTTTTCAGGGGGGCAGTGGAACAAAAAGGGGTCATACGGGGGCAAAGGAACAGAAGGGGGGGCGCTATGGGGGCAATGAAGCGAGCCAAACCAGGGAAGGCGGCTGCAGCCGCGGTGCTGGCAGCGGATCCAGCAGGCGGATCTAGAGCAGCTGGTGCTGGCAGCGGATCCGGTGTTGCTGCGCCGCTACCGCGGGGAGTGGGACAATGATAATTTTCTCAATGGCTCAAGGGGGCGTTTCTTTCAAAAAGGTTAAGAACCACTGTGTTAGACCACTTGAGTGACTTTTGGAATCTTTAGGAAACATTGGAGATATGACCAACAAATCATGATTGACACCCTTTTATGTTGTGTTCTGTATAAAAGTAATCTCTTGGTTGGTTTAGTGCCATCAACATTGGCTTTTAATTCAAACAACATGAATAAGGCTACAGATTTTCCACATACCCATTTTTTTAAAGGTTTCAGCCTATTGGGTGTACCAGCAAGAAAAAATGCAGAAAGATCTCCTTGACTGTCGTTCAGTGCAACACTTGTATTGTTTTGGCTTCAGTTTTAAACACACTAGAAATTGTTGTCCTACTGAATAAAGTAGGAATTAATTAAACATGCATAAAATCGTATTGTGACATCATTCATGCTGTGGCTGGGTTAAAGCCTTCCCTTTTTATTTTAAGTGTGGTTAGACAGGTACTGAAACACAACTGGCATATAAAATACAGCAAAATAGAGTAGAATACAGTACAGTGGTGCCTCGCTTAGCGACGTTAATTCGTTCCGCAAAAATCGCTGCAGAACGAAAACGTCACTATGCGATATTAAAAAGCCCATAGAAACGCATTGAAACCTCTTCAGTGCATTCCTATTGACTTAAAACTCACCGTTGAGCGAAGATCCTGCATCGCGCCTCCATTTTTGGTGCCTCTAAAGCGAGGAATCCGTCCCTAAACACAGCGGGTGGCCATGTTTTTTTCCGGCAGCCATTTTGAAACCGCCGATCAGCTGTGCGAAAATGGGGGCTTTGCAATGATCGCTTCCCTGCGACCATCGCAAAGCGAAAATACCACATAGAGAACATTGCAAAGCAGTCGCTTTTGCAAGCGCAAAAAATGCGTTGCGAAGCAATTTCGTCGCTAAACGGAGCGATCGCTAAGTGAGGCACCACTGTACAGAAGCTTTTTGTGTTTAACATATTTTTTGCCAGTTACAATGCCAGACTTGTAGAAGGAAGAAATATGAACACCTGCAAGTAGAAATCACTGGCTGATTAAATGTTTTTTATAACTTTTGATATCATTGTTTTTAAGGGTGAGAGTTACCAAGGGAGCTGATGATACATTGGTGGTGTGCCCAACAATTGTAACCGAGGATAGCATGCAGGCTCAACATCTGGGTGCTACATTAGCATTATATCATTTAACCAAAGGACAGGTGAGATTTAAAGATGGTGTGAACACTTTTAAATTATACTTTTGTCGAGTAGAAGTTGATTAATATGGGCACATTATACATCACTTGGTAGTGATCCTTATGTATGTGAATGCGCAACAGTCAGCCCTCTAAGTCTGAGGGATCTGATTGGTTTCAATGTTAATACTTAAGCCAGTCTTTGAGCTAGGCCTACTGAAAGGACTGGTGATCTGCAGATTGAAACCTAAGCAATACCTGGGGGAACTATAAGTGGCAGACAATGAAACACCAAGAGTAACAAACCAGAATGCTGATGTAGAAGAATGTCTGATGTGTTCAACTGAATGTAACAAACAGCCTATTATAAAGCATAGTCCATGATGGGAAACATGTGGCCCTGGACTACATTTCATGCCATCCCTCAACATTGGTAGTGATGGTAGGTGTGATGGAGGTTTCAGTCCAGCAAGAATGTAAAGGCCACTTGTTTCCCACTCCTGGGCTAGTCTGTGGTACAAATGATAGCATACTGTTCTTCCTTCTCTGATATCAATGTGCCTGCAATGTTTTGTCCAGAAAACCCTGAGCAATACGGAGTCCTCTGTAGGTCCATATCTTGGAGCATTGACCATTACACTGTGTTGACTCACTTCTTGGCAGGCAGGATCACTAAATTCCCCACCCCCACCCCTACCCATTGAAGTCTCTGTTGGAGGTCTCCAGAGCTCCATATTGCAATTGCGTGGGCAATTTCTGGTGATGCAAGTGATTTTGAAACCAGTTTTTGCAGATGTGATTGAAGGTTGTTCAGTAACATGAAAAATGGATGCTTGCAAGCCTATGGAATAAAGAGAATGTTTCCTAGGATGAAGGTGATGTGAACAGTGAGGGGGCACACAGTTCTGGACTTGTTTAAAATGGCTTAGCTATTGAGAAATGCCATCCATAGCTTTTAAACCAATAGTAGATGGTGATTGAAATCCTACGTATGCCTATATGTAAACAAGCACAGTGGGGACTTCAAAATAAATATGCACAAGATTGTTCTGTACATATCATTTTATAAGGTCCAACAAGTACTGTTTCCTGTGTCTGATGGCTTGTTTGTGTGGTTTGTGTCTCTTCTGTAGTCTGTCCATCAGCTGCTTCCTCCCACATACAGAGAAGTTTGGTTAGAGTGGAGTGATGCTGAAAAGAAGAAGGAAGAGGAGAACAAAATGGAAACCAACAAGCCCCGTGACCAGTTCATTGCTAAACTGTTACACAAACTGAAACAGCAGCAGCCCCAGCAGCAGTTGGAAAGCAAGCCCAAAGTCTCAGAAGATGCAGAGGACTCCTGGGAAAACTTAGTTTCTGAAGAAGACTTTAGCAGTCTCACTCTTGAGAGCCCAGCAAAAGATGACCTTGAACCCGTGAGGATTCTCTTTAAAAAATTGCAGAGTACTCCTAAATACCAGAAACTTTTAAGGGAAAGAGAGCAGTTGCCTGTGTTTAAATATCGACATTCCCTCGTAGAAACTCTTAAAAAGCACCGAGTCGTGGTTGTGGCTGGTGAAACGGGCAGTGGAAAAAGCACCCAAGTTCCACACTTTTTGTTAGAGGACTTGTTGCAGAATGAGCAAAGTCTGAATAAATGTAATATTGTTTGCACTCAACCTCGAAGAATCTCAGCTGTGAGTTTGGCAACTAGAGTTTGTGAAGAACTGGGCTGCGAAGGAGGACCTGGTGGAAAAGTAAGGTTTGTGGAGTGCGGGGGGAAGGGAGATTTTATGTATCAAGACAGATTTTCAGAGAATGTCTTGGGAACATTTTTGCTGTTCCAAATTACCAGTTTATATTGGATCCAGCACACGCCCACTTTTTGCTTGTAAGAATTTCAGGTGTGGCTATTTAATGCAGCTCAAAAATGGTCTTGACTACCAATTCAGTAGTAATTTTGACTGTTTATGGAAATTGGTGATGCTTTACTGTTGAAGTAGTAGTGTTGGTAGTATTGGTATCCAGAAGTTTGAATAATCATGCAAAGAAGAGTTCTGAACATAGTGAAAAACAGCCAGAAGTTTCAGGTATAGACTGAAGTATGCTTTACTTTTAAAAATGGCCAAGAAAAGAGAATGATGTGTCAAATATGACTTTTAGCCTTTTAAGTGTTGCAATGACTGAAGAAGCTGCATTTGCTGAAATATTTTCTCTGAAATTCTTTAAGGCACAGGAGTCATCACTGGCATAAAGACTATTGCACATCCTGCTTTTCCTGCTTAAGAAAGCAGGAAAAAGAAATCTGCCTGACAAATAGAACCAGAAATTGTATCTTAGTCTAAAACTGTCCATACCAGTTTTAATTTTAAACTGATCATGGAAATCAACCTGTTGTTCACTTTGTTCAAGTATATTGAGCATTCATTTTGGGTGGAGTCCTAATTACTTTCCCAGAGTAAAGGCTGATTCTGAATGCTACAAAGTCAATAATAAATTTAGGATAGATTCAGCACTCTTTGCCTCGTACTCAGTTTTATGTTTCCTTTCAAATGAAGGATTCCTTGTGTGGCTATCAAATTCGTCTGGAATCTCGAACAGGTGAGGCGACAAGGTTGCTTTACTGCACAACGGGCGTCCTCCTTCGGAAGCTACAAGAAGATCTTCTTCTTTCTAATGTGTCTCACGTTATAGTAGATGAGGTAAGCAACATTTCTGTGGTAGCCAAAGAGAGTTGGAACTGTGCTAAGCAGTCTTTTCTAGTTTTTCTTTCTGCCTTCCTCATTAACTCTTTCTCCATCCTTTTTCCTCAAGGTTCATGAAAGAAGTGTTCAGTCAGACTTCCTACTAATCATCTTGAGGGAAATCTTGCACAAACGTTCAGATCTACATCTTATTCTGATGAGTGCCACTGTAGATAGTGAGAAATTCTCCAGCTATTTCACTCACTGCCCCATTCTACGAATTTCTGGAAGGAGTTATCCTGTCGAGGTGAATATGTCATTGCAGTTTTATAATTGTAGTTGCACTGCTTGTTACAAAGTCTTGTGTCTGTATCTTTTATTCTGGCCTGGGCGGAAACAAGTTGTAATCGCTGATGGGCCCATGTTATTGAGAAGAAATACAGCATGAACTGTCACTGTGTATTTTCTGGCTGTGTATGCTTTCAAATCATATTATGCTGCTGTTTTATCCCTTAGGTTTTATGGAATTTTATGACCTTTAATAATGGTTCTTTTTATAATATTGCATTTGTTCTAGAAATGGGCACAAACCACTGGTTTGGCAGTATGTACTAGTTTGTCCTTTGGACGAACAGGTATTTGGCAGCTCCCAGCCTGGTCTCCTGGCAGGCACCCATTCGGGAGGCATCACCTGGAGGAGGTGGGCAGGGAAGCCGAAGCACTGCCTCTGGTGCCCACCCCCTGTGGGGCGGGACTGGAAACTGCTGGACACCTGTTCATCCAAAGGACAAACGGGCAGTTCACGCCCATTTCTAACTAATGCTCTTGGTTACTTCAAAAGAACTTTTTGTTCTGACAGGCACAGAAATCTTTAAAATAAATATAAAGCAAAGCTGCTTATATACCGCTCAGAGTGCTTCAAGCACTCTCTGGGCGGTTTACAAGTTAATTATACAGGCTACACATTCCCCCCCCCCCAGCAAGCTGAGTACTCATTTTACTGACTTCGGAAGGATAGAAGGCTGAATCAACCTTGAGCCGCTACCTGGGAGCACAGTTTTGGCTGCAGTACAGCAGTTTAAACACTGCACCATGAGGCTCAACACAAATAATTTGCCAGATATTCTGGACAACATGGAACAGCTCAGTTCATGTATTGCTCTTTGCTAACACAAATAATTTGGCAGATATTCTGGACAACAGCTCAGTTCATGTATTGCTCTTTGCTAGATCAAAAGGTTCTGTGTCCCTGAAGGTGACTTTCCATAGGATCAGAAGATAAGGATACTTGAACTTAGCAAATCACTTTCCATGTGCAGTAGTTTGTTTGTTTATTTATGTTATTTATAACAATGCAAGAATCACAGATTTAGAAACACCATTTTAAAAACTATACTAAAAACTAACCATTATCAAAGTTCAAATCACCATTAAAACAATTTTAAAAATATTTTGAAAACATTTACAAATCTCTTAATTTCAGTAAATACAGCATCTTTGAGATCTGCTCTTGTCGCTTTAAAGCCTGCCTCAAAAGCTGTTTCAAGCAACTCCCACACAAGTCATCTAGTTGTACTGATTGTTACATTTGATACCTACCCTACTTCAGTATACTAAAGCTAGTTTCTTGGTGCAGTAGAGAATGGAACATTGATATCACTCAGTAAAATAAGATTAAATGCAACCTTGTTGCAAAAGTCAGCCTTATGGAAAATAAAACTATTAATAATCAATTGGAGAATTAAATAATAAGGATAGGAAGATTTGCTTCTGCTTTTAAAAACCCTGTGAAATGAATGGGGCAGATGGATCCCCAGGAGTGGGGATAATGAGCTCCAAAAATCATAGTCCTGTGCTTAACCGTTACCTTTCAGGCCTCCCGAGGCAAGGCAACTGGTGTCTTTACAGAATGAAGATTTGCTTTTTAAAAACCCTGTGAAATGAATGAGGCAGATGGATCCCCAGGAGTGGGGGTAATGAGCTCCAGAAATCATAGTGTTGTGTAAAACAAGGTCTTGTGCTTAACTGTTACCTTTCAGGCCTCCCAAGGCAAGGCAACTGGTGTCTTTACAGAATGTCCTAAAAAATGAGGGGGGACATAGCTGAGGAGGCAGTCCAGAACAGCACTAATATGAACCCTTCTGCTGAATGCCGTAATTGTAGAAAATACATACACAAATAAATTTGGTTCCAGATGATATAAGATAATCTGGCCTCAGTTCAGGTATGGTTGTAAGGGTATAATAAATAAGTTCTAGAAATGACAAAGGTACAGTAAATTGGGCCTAGAACTAAACCAGCAAGAGAATAGCTTCAGATAGTTTAGAGCAGGGGTCTCAGACTCAATTTACCTGGGGGCCTCTGGAGGCAGAGTCTGGGTGAGGCTGGGCCGCATCAGATTTTCCGCCAACAGAGCAAGAGCCCAAGGAAGCCACCCGGGAGTTTCCTTAGCCCAGCTGGGTCGCCGAGGAGGAGGAGGAGGGGCGTGCGAGCCCTCGTTGCCGGCCACAGTCCCCTCCGGCTCCTTCTTCACTACCACTACTAGCAGCAGCAGGACGAAGAAGCAGAGAAGGGAGGGAGGGCCGGCAACTACCTAGCGGGGGGGGGGCACGACATAATTTTTTTTTTAAAACCCTCACAAAACCACCTGCCTTGCCAAAGGAGAAAAGCCACCATCAGTATCCGTGAAATTAAACAGAATGGGGCAGGGCAGGTCCGCCCACCCACACGACGAAGAAGCAGAGAAGGGAGGGAGTGCCGGCAACTACCTAGCGGGGGGGGGAGTGCACGACATAATTTTTTTTTAAACCCTCACAAAACCGCCTTGCCAAAGAGAAAAGCCCCCATTGGTACCCACGAAATTTAACTGAATGGGGCGGGGGCCCCACAGGTGCATGCGGGCACGCGGGCATGCACAAAAACAGAGAGTGAGAGATCCGGGAACCTTTCTCTGAGGGCCCCCCTCAAAAAAACGGCACACTCAGCAGCAGCTACCCCCGCCACGACAGAGGAGCAAACTTTGTGAGGCGAGCCCAGGCAGCCTCCAGAGCTGAGGCAGCTGAAGCAGGATGAAGAGGAGGAGGAGGAAGCACCACTGGGTGGTTTCTTGAAAGTTTAGTTCATTTTATACTTCTGTAGGTGTTCCATGTTGAAGATGTGATAGAAGAAACTGGTTTTGTGTTGGAGAAAGATTCTGAATATTGCCAGAAATTTTTGGAAGAAGAGGAGGAAATCACGGTAAATGTTACCACCAAAGGAGGAGGAGTTACAAAATACCAGGTGAGGTGGTATTTGCGGAAGTCATCCTGTTAATGGCATTGAAGCTGCTAGGATGAAAGGCTGGTTAATTTTTATTTCAGGAATAGCATTTTCAGGGTTTTAGTATCCTATTGCAAACTCTTTGAAAAACAGGAATTTCGATTCCCAGCATGTGTTTAAGTAGTAGTTGGTCTCAGGTTTGTCATCTAAATGCTTAATAATAATCATGTGTGTCAAGTCAGTTCTGACTTACAACAACCCTTTTCAGAGTTTCCTGGTAGAGAATACTCAGAAGTGGTTTACCATTCCCTTTTTCCAGGGGGTGCTCTGGGACTGTGCAGCTTTCCCAAGGCCACACAGGCTGGCTGTTCTCCCTGGAGGCATAGTGAGGAATTGAACCCCCAACTCTTGGCTCCCTAGCCTCATACCTAAACCACTGAACTATCCAGGCAGCTTCTTGTGTAAATGCTTAGTATAGCAAAAAGTCCCTCAAAGGTCTATATAGCATCTTTAAGGGGACAGAGAAACTATCATGGGAAAGAGGAGAAATTCTCTCCCACCTGTCCTGTTTCACATGCCCAAATCTGGATCTGGCCCAGTACTATTGCCTTTCTATTTAAAAAAACTTTTCTTATACAGTAACTAGAATCTATGTTATGTACACATAGCAGTTTTTTAGAGTGATTGTGAAATTTAAATTCCATGGACACCTATTTCAGTGCTTTATGTTTTAAGTACCATTCAGTGCTTATATTCCCAGGTTTTTTCCCCCTTTATAGGAAAATATACCAGTTGAAGCTGCATCAAGTATTGATTTAGGTCCCTATTATCAAAAATATAGTAGTCGAACTCGCCAAGCTATCTTCTATATGAATCCTTACAAGGTCAACTTTGATCTCATCTTGGAGCTGCTTGCATTTTTAGGTATGTTTTGTAGAACTATTTGAAAGACACTTTGGCCTGTGACTTTCCAGTTCCTTTTATTGAGGAAGAAAAGATGGCTGCAGTTTAAATACACTTGTCAGGTAGTAAGCCTTGTTGTATGAATGACCTATGTCTAAGCAAATACACATACAGTTGTGCTTCAAGCATTATTTCGCTGTTTTGTTTGTTGCTCACATTCTTTCATGATTGAATGGTGGGGAATATTTTTAAATGTATTAAGGCCAAAATCCTGTTAAAGAATAACTGCACATACCAGGGTAAATCATTCAGTGCTTATTTTCTTCCAGCTGTCCTTCCTGTCAATAATTACCCACCTAATCTCGTAATCAGTTGTGCAAAGGAGAGCCAGCCCCGGGGGGGGGCATTTATGATATTGCCCTTTCATGGTGGCAGGATTCTGACCCAAGTCTCTAACCAGAGTTCCCTCCACACACACTCTTGTACTGTTGTCTTTTTAACTCCTTCCTAATTTTTCATTTCATTGCAGACAGAGCTCCCCAGTTCCGAAATGTAGAAGGAGCTGTCTTAATTTTTCTACCAGGACTTGCTCATATTCAACAGTTGTATGACCTCATTGCAACTGACAGACGGTTTGATCTACGACAAAGGTAAATTAACAATGTACCTTGTTGCATCCATTTCTGCAACTATTTGTAAAGGCAGCTGCATAGAAGTGAATTGTTAAATTCCAAAGTGTTTATTTTCTTAATTAATGGATGTTCTTCATAGGCTTATACATGAGATAAGACCAACCTATATATGTTAACTATATGCAATTCATGATTCTGAATATTTAGAACATGAAGTTTACATCATAGTTTGGGCTCCAGCATAGAACAAGCCAAGCCACAGGTGGATGTCTTATATCTCCAGCTGGCCATATATTTTGCCTGCATAAAGTCCCCAGTCACTTCCAAGTGATGTTTACATTTTACCAAAAGCTTCTAGTAGCAGGTCTGGTAAAGATGCCTGCTTCAGAGAAAAGACTGGGTGAATAGACAACACTGGATATTACAGGCCAGTGGTCTGACTCTGTATAAGGTGATTGTATTGTTTAGATTTAGGAAAGGGTTGCGGGTGCATTAAGGAATGTAATGCAAAACATATGGCATGCCATATAGATGCAAGATTTAGATTTAGGAAAGGGAGTTGCAGGTGCGTTAAGGAATGTAATGCAAAACATACGGCATGCCATATAGGTGCAAGATTTTCTTGAAGCCACAAATGTACAGTGGGGTCTCTACTTAAGAACTTAATCTGTATTGGAAGGTGGTTCTCAAGTCGAAAAGTTCTTATGTCGAATCTGCATTTCCCATAGGAATGCATTGAAAACCATTTAATCCGTATCTGCTCTTTTCCGTCCATAGAAACTACAGTGGAACCTCTACTTAAGAACTTGATCCGTATTGGAATGCTGTTCTTAAGTTGAAACGTTCTTAAGTTGAAGCAAAATTTCCCATAGGAATGCATTGAAAACCAATTAATCCATTCCAGCTGTTTTTTGTCCTTATGTACAGGCACGTTTGTACGCTGAAAAGCCGGTTAATCCGTACTCTACCACTAGGGGGAGAAATTTTTTTTAATCTAAGAGTTCTGCCTAAAATGACCTAAGGTTAAAAAAAGGGCAGGAAAGTTTTTTTTCCCTGTTCTTATCTTGGAGCTCCGTTCTCAAGTAGAAGCAAAATTTAGTGAACGGAGCTGTTCTTAAGTTGGACTGTTCTTAAGTAGCGACGTTCTTAAGTAGAGGTTCCACTGTATTAATTAAGATCCAAGAAACAAGTCTTGGATCTTAAGATATGAGCTTTAATAGGAAATGTGACCTGCATGGACAATTTGGTGTTTTAAAAATGAATGTTAAAATTGCATCCGAAAGTGCAAACAGACTTAAATAAAATACAATAAAATAGTTAAGAGAGGCTGGTAAATATTTGAAACTGTTCTGGCACATAACTGTAAATGCTTTTTACAACTGAGGTTTTGTATGTCTAGAACAGTTTGAAACAATTCATCAAGGAATATCATGTGAGCTACCTTGAGTCCCTTAATGGAAGAATGGTGGCATAGAAATTGAAATGAAATACAGTAAAGACTTGTGAAATGCATATGTTTATTTTCTAGTATATAATACTAGTGTAAGCAAGGAACCTCTTTCTTGGATGGATACCTTGTGATGTGGGGGGTTGGGTGTGTCAGGAGGCTAGACTCCATTATAGGCCTGGACTCTTAGCAGGGCCACGCAAGGTGAGGCACTTAAGGTGCTTCCACCCTCCTCATGAGTAACAGCCCTATCAGCAGAAGAGAACGGATAGTTCCAGTGGTGATGGGGGCAGAGAAATTTCTGGAAGGCAGTAACTTGGCAACAGCGGTTGCTGAACATGATGCTGGTAGAGGATCTTTCACAGACAGTGGCAGCAACATTGAAACTAACTTGTACTGCGCAGAAGAAAGCAATGGCAAACTGCTGCTGAATCTTTTTTACCTTGAAAATCGTAATGTCCAAAATGAAACAAATTATGCTGGAAGATGAGACTCCCAGGTCAGAAAGCACTCCATCAGCTACTAGGGAAAAGCAAAGCACAAGTATGAGCAGCACTGGCATTAATGATGCAACTAGATTAAATGTGAAAGAACATCAGGAAGAAAATTTATTCATTTGAAATATAGTGCCGGAGGAGAGCATATATCCTGGACTGCGAGAAAGACAAACAAATGGGTTCCAGATCAAATTCAAGCCTGAACTATCTCTGGAGGCAAAATGACAAAACTGAGGCTGTCATATTTTGGACACATCATAAGAAGGCAATATACACTGAAAAGACAATAATGCTGGGAAAAATTGAAGGCAGCAGGAAAAGGGGTAGTCCAAATGTGAGATGGCTTGACTTCACCAAGGAAACCACAGCCTTGCATTTGCAAGAGCTGACTAGGGCTGTTGCGGACTGGACATTTTGGACAGCACTCGTTCATAGGGTCACTGTAAGTCGGATGTGACTTCACAGCATGTAACAAGAAGCAAAGAACCTCAGGACCTAGGGATAAAATAGGGTCTGAAGACATAAATTAATTTATGCCATTGTTAATTTGTATGTATATGCATTTAATCTCAGAAATAAATACAAAGCCAGGCATTTGATTTTCTACACTGTATTTTTGTGTCTTCCAGACATCGGTTAATAGCACTTCATTCCATTCTGTCTACTCAAGACCAAGCATCTGCATTTACTCTGCCCCCTTGTGGTGTCAGAAAGGTATGTTCTTATATGTCTGTACAGCTAACTGGTGTTTTATTTTGCAGCAAAAGTTAGTATTTTTTCTTGCCTGTCTTGCAATTAGCAAAATATTTGTATTCACATTTTTTCCTTTTATTTCCTTCACAGATAGTTTTGGCCACCAACATTGCGGAGACAGGTATCACTATACCTGATGTTGTTTTTGTAATTGACCCTGGGAGAACAAAAGAAAACAGGTAACACCCACTTACTGTGTGTTTCGTGTGTGTGTGTGTGTGTGTGTGTGTGTGTGTGTGTGTGTGTGTGTGTGTGTTCAGATCTGTACTGATTTTATGTAAGGAAAGGCTCAAGATACATTCTTAACCTGTTTCTGTACTTTTTTATAAGATAGGGGGATTGTTGTTTCTCGTTTGTGTGTGAATTCATGAATTAACAATCAGTGGTGGAATGACATAACCCCCTGCCTGCTTTATTATTCCCAAGAGTACAAGGTTCTGGACTACTTTGGTTTAGGAAGTTCAGGAATGGTTGGTCCATCCAGCCCAATATTGTCAACTTGACTAGCTATGGCTATCCAGGGTTTCAGGCAGTATTGTTTCCTAACCCTATCTAACCTGATATTAGTTGGTGGTTTCCTATCCCAATGCTATTCAGGTTTGGTGTTGCTTAGTTTTCAAGATCATTGAAAATCGATGTGTTCAGAGTGGCGTTGTGGTTTTCTTTCTTGTAATGTCATGGGTTAGCTTACATTCAGGAAAAGTCATGCATCTTGACATACCACTTTGCATGTAGGTCCTTTTTTTGCCTCTGTAGCTGCAGCTGTTTGGATATGATTCAAGAATTCTTCCAGATGGAAGATGAAATAGATCTTGCAGAGCAGACTGCCACTGTTGCTTACACAGAAAGAGCTCTTAGATGTGACATTATTTTACAGAATATCAGTAGACTTAATTCTCAAGATTTCTGTTCAATACCATTTTTCCAGATACCATGAAAGCAGTCAGATGAGCTCTTTAGAGGAGACTTTTGTGAGCAAGGCTAGTGCACTACAACGTCAAGGGAGAGCTGGGCGTGTCAGGGATGGATTCTGCTTTCGAATGTACACAAGAGAGAGGTAAGTTGGTTTGGACTATTAAAATCTAAAAGTTAAGTAAGTATGTTGAGTGCAGACCAGATAATTCACAAGGCAGTGCTAGGATTGTAAACACTTGGACTGATACTTTACCTAGCAGTTAAGTGACTGCATGTAATACAATGCAAAAATATTTGGTTCCACAGTACAGTACAGTGGTACCTCGCTAGACGACGACCTCATAAAACGATGAATCCGCATGATGATGAGGTTTTGCAATTGCTATAGCGATTTGCAAAACAGTCATTCCAATGGGGGATTTTCACTGGACAATTATTTGGTCCGTGCCTCATGGCCCGTTTGTTCGCGAGTCGATGATTTTTACAGCTGATCGGCGGCTCCACAAAATGGCTTCCCTGTGTTTTCGGGACCCATGCTTTGCAGGACAGCCATTTTAACAGCTGATCAGCGCTCACAAAATGGCTTCCCTATGGGTGATCTTCGCAGGACGACGAGGTATTTTCCCCATTGGAATGCATTAAACGGTTTTCAATGCATTCCAATGGGGAAACAGATTTCACATGACGATGATTTCACTAAACAGCGATTTCAATGGGACAGATTATCGTCGTCATGTGGGGCACCACTGTATTTTAATGCAAAACCCTTATAGCCTTAGTATGAAATTAACGGTAAGTATTGGCATGCCTTTGGGGAATCAGCAGAACAGAACAACTGTATCTTAGTTCTAAACATGTTATTGTCTACTACCTTTTCCAAAGCACAGTCCACAAAATGGATGTTGGTTCCCATTGATGATTCTGTATGATGTATGATTCTGTGCTTATGCACACAAGCACAGAAGTAACTTAGCAATATGAACCAGCACTTGTCCCGTCATTTGATTTTTGCAGATTTCAAAGTTTCCTGGAGTATTCTGTTCCAGAAATATTGCGGGTGCCCTTGGAAGAACTGTGCCTTCATATTATGGTATGATTTTTCTGCTTTTGCCATTAATTATTTTGATGTTATGACAATAGCATGAGAGAGTGGTCTAATTTGCACAACAGCATCTTAGCAAAGAGTGCAAAAACAAATATTCATGATCTATGGAAAAAACAGGAACAAAGGTGTAGTGTTTTATTTTGTAAGAATGAAAACCTAACTGATTTATCTCTTTAATATAGAAACATTCTGCAAAAAGGGTCATTCCCTTAGAAAAGGTACACACTGTTGGAAGATCTAGACTAGTCTGTCCTGATCCAGTACACTCTAGATGTACAACTCCTTTTCTCCATTATTTCAAGGGATATGAAAAGGTTGCTAGGAAAGGCTGTTCAAGAAAGACTCTACAAATGTAATGTAGAATCTGTGATTGGTAGTTACCTAACCAAGGTTACATGCATTTTATCTTTTTCTTCTCTGTTTCATCTACAGAAATGTAATCTTGGCTCTCCTGAAGATTTCCTCTCCAAGGCCTTAGATCCTCCTCAGCCCCAAGTAGTTGGTAACGCCATGAATCTTCTGCGGAAGATTGGCGCTTGTGAACTAAGTGAGCCCAGGCTGACTCCTTTAGGCCAACATCTTGCTTCACTGCCAGTCAACGTTAAGATTGGCAAAATGCTTATATTTGGTGCTATTTTTGGCTGTCTGGATCCAGTGGTGAGTTAATGGCTACCATTACGTTGTTCATCAATATGCTCACAAAGTAAATAATAGAGTGGAGAACTTTTTAATGAGCAGAAGGGCAAGTTAGACATTTAACAACAGCCGTTTTAGTGGTTGCAGTGAAAAATGATGTGCTACCGCAGTGGCACCAATGCTTTTGAAATTTGCTTCTGTTACTGTTCCCTCCCAAAACATGTAAAGTTACTGACCTTGTTTGAAATATGTTCATTAAGAGCTGGGTTTAGATTTTAAAAAATCGTTGTCTTTGTCATGCTTCTCATGAATTTTCAAAGGTGTCCAGCTAACCACTTTTGAAGAAAAAACTTCAGGCTAAATAGATCTTGGCCTGAACCAGAAAACTAGTTTTTTATATATATAATCTCTGTTTTCAAATCATCTCATCCTTATGACTCTATTTTAATTTTTCTGCCCATGAAATTTGGCATAAAACATTTTGCGTAATGATTTTTTGCTTTCCTCATTGTTTAAAAAGATGGCTCAAAGCACAGCATCTTGATCTTGGCAGAAATGAAAAAAGCAGCTGTTATTGCATTTTAATACATAATATATTGTTGTGGCTTATAGGCTACCCTTGCTGCCGTAATGACGGAAAAATCTCCCTTTACTACCCCAATTGGAAGAAAAGATGAAGCCGACCTTGCAAAATCTTCTCTGGCGCTGGCAAACTCAGACCATCTGACAATTTATAAGGCATATCTAGGGTAACTGAAATATCCTTTCTCAGAACATATGGATGGTGTGTTCTCACCAAACATTTTATTGTCATTTGTTATAATGCCACTTTCTTTGGTCTGTCTTCCTATTGCTGCCATGGTGCTAAACAATGCATGAGGCCCTTGCAGTTGCCATAGTGAATGCAGCACAATGTTCTCCTAATAGTGCAATACATCAGTGAGCCTCCATCCTTATCCTACTGGTATTAATATGAGATGAAAGGAGACATTGGTAGCTATTCGATGCTTCATTTGCCCAACAAGAGGTGCATCACTGTAACACCTGTCTATCTTTGATTCATAGTTCTGCTTTTTATTTGAAAAAGAGAGCCAAGCCAA